CTCAAACTGATTTCTTATTGCATTTTTCTGAGTTTTTAGCATCGGCCCGCTGAGTCTGGAAAGCTCAAATTTCAGAAAAGTACTACTTGTATCTTTCTTTTAAGTTGCCCATAGTTTTGAAAACTGATTTTGAAAGAAGAGATAACGCTCTTTAACGTGGTATAAGACTCGTTACTGAAATCGAGGTACCAGTCGACGATTTGGGGCTTTGAAATTTGCCATTTTTTCATTGAACGAAAACGTTCAAAATATTGAAAATAATGAAAAATCTCCAAAATATTACATTTTCGTTCAAACTGAGTAAATCACCACTTAAAATGTGTGCAGTTATGTACTCTTCTGAATAAGTTATTTGTTATCCGCATTACAATGGATTTGAATTTTAAAACAATTTTTTTGTGACACATGGTCTCGGGCCTGGAAAACCCGGTCCGAGAGCCGCCAAAGCAATAACCCCCCCGTACGTGGAAAATAATTATCGGATCGAAGTAAATTTGCATTTATGCCAATAGCTTACCTAGTGCTACTTTGTGAATTTTTTTTGAGAATTTCCGATTTTTCACTTTTGTAGACCTCTGGTCGATAATTACTGACATCCGCTCTTAAAAATCAATTTTCAACAGGTTAAGACTTGTGTCTTCACACTTTTCTGGTTTAATTAACATTAAGCTAAACGGACCTCTAAACAGTCAGTTGCATATCAACTCAGATTAACAGAATAAGATAGTACCTGTCTAAGTGCTTCACCTTAAGTTTCGCATTCAGTCTTTGGGTTAAAATATTAAGTTGTTGCATACTTTAATAACTATGGTTATAGATTTCATTTGCTAAAAAACTTCAGTAGAACTGTTAAAGCTAAGTACTATCCGAAGTCTTGACGGATACTGCCATTATCCGATTTGGCGAGGTTACAGTTTGTTGGTGGTTTCAATATGATAAGAGAAAAAAATATACAACATGTTGACAACTTTATTCTTTTGTGATCTTGTAAACAACTTGGCTCAGACAAATTCCGGCAGCTTCTACGTTAAAAATCGATGTGAGGCGCATGATAAAAAACTTTTGAGCTCTCCAGTCCTTGTTCTACGTGTCGCTTTTTTCTCGCTCCCGTTATTCTTTTAGCTTATTTGTGCCCTCTCCGGACTGAAAGAGGCTCCATCAGGCTCATCATAAGTCTTCTCATTAAAGATGTAACAAAAATAAATCTACAGTTGACTTTGATAACTCGAACTTCAAAGGCGCGTATCATTGATTAGTTACTAGGTTCGACTTCTAGGACTCGACTCAAGTATTATCGGGAATGGGTCACAATAAAGGCTTCTAGTCCTCAGCTTCTACGTTCGCAGGATATAGATCAACTTTCGCGACTTAGAACGAGTGAGAATGACCAGTAATGTTTAGTTTATTGGCTCAGTTACGCTGTAATCAGAATGATATGCTTGACTACAGGTCGAGTGCGGTTCTATAATCAAAGGTGAACATATGACGGCAAGTCTTTGAAAAGCTTCAAAGAGAGATAGAAATTTCTTACGATTGCGTTGTCATTGAAGGATATCGAACTAGGATTAAGAAAAGTGTAAAAAGTCCTATGGAAAGCTTTCCTTCCATTAAGCTTCAATCGGTAGCTGGTTGAGGATATGCTTGATTGAGTCAAAAGACCGCATAATTTTAAGTAAGGGACCAAGCTTGTAGGTGCTTGCCTGCAGTGTAGGCAAAGTGACACTGATCTATTTGGTACCAGATTATAAGTGTATCACATGGTAAAGATCTAGGAAGAACGTAACGCTCTGCTTAGCTATGACTGCAAGATCGGTTTCGGAACCAAAATATTGGATCCTTCGTCAGTTGCTTAAAACTCACGAAGAGAACTAGTGCCGTAAACTTGAGTCTGCTCTTTTCATGTAGCATATACAGAATCCTAATTCCTAAGCTCTTCGAAAAAAGCTATAAAAAGCAACTGACAAAGGATCCAATATTCAACAAAAACAGGACTTACATCTTCAAGACACCACCGATTTCATCAACTTTATTGAAAGCACGCAAATCTCCGACAATGTGCTTTTAGCTGCTCCCTTTACACAAACATCCCTCAAACAGAAGGGATTGACGTTATTTGCCGTCACTTCGAAGATCACTATGAGCATAATTTGCCACTGAACTCCCCCAAATGATTTACAGAAACTTTTGCGGCTCATACTTGAAGAGAATTCGTAGCATCAAGTTCAACGAACGACACTTCATGCAAACACATGGCGTCGCTATGGGAACTAAGACAACAGTAGCTTTCTCTGTTATTTTTATGGAAGACCTAGAAAAACGACTACTAATGGCTAACCCCTCGAAACCTTTGGTCTGGAAGAGATTTATTGATGACAACCTTTCACTGTGCGACAGTTCAGTGAAAGAAGTTTACAACTTTTTGACTTCGCTAGGCTTCTTACGCAATTGCATAAATTGCGTTCCAATTTCATTTCCGCAATTGTTATATAATTTATTTCATATACATCACATTCATCTCATCACGGGAACACAAGAACACACAATTGCGGAGTAGCTCCCAACATCAGTGGATTCATAGCTCAGTTGGTTAGAGCATCGCACCGGTCACTGGTTCAAACCCCGTTCAAGTCTTGAATTTTTTCAGGCTTTTTGCGCGATATACTCCATTTGACGTTCAACCCTACAATCAAGTTTACTTCGGTGTGAAAGGTCATCTGAACGCGCTTTTTTCCTTGATACTGAGGCTTTTTAAGCACCTCCTCGCCTTTCAACTCAAACACATTTCAAGCACACCGAAACTTTTCAACTTCTCATCTTGCCACCCTTTAATCTGCATAACTCAGTCAAAGAAAACTTTGAACAAAGCAAACGAGACTGAACACAGACTCTGTCGAAGAGGCTATCCTTTACGCTCGTTCAAGAAATACTGCCTGAGTTAAGTTCGCCGACAGAAATGAGGCTCTTTGCAATAAAGCAAAACAAACAAAAGAGATTTTATCGTTTGTTACTATCTACAATCCAGCCACACTGAATCTCAAAAAAAATCTTTTGAAACACCGGCACATCATTCAACAGAAACATAAGCTTAAACAAATCTTTACCCAGCCACCGATTGTCTCCCACAGGAAGAAAAAATCTCTTAACGACATTCTAGTCCGCGCAAAAATTTCTATAATCTCGCAACAATCACAAAATCAGCAAAGCGGTTAAAAGCAAACTTGGATGCAATTTGCATACGATCACGGCTGACTCTGTCCTAAAATTGGTAATCACGCATTCACGCGTTTATTGCGACACAACTGTGACCGGGTCAATATATTTTCAGATCTCTTTCCCGTAATCCTATCATTGATCATTCTTATCACGAACGTAGAAGCTGAGAAGTCGTAGACTTTGTTACAACTCTGATTACAGCGTAACTGAGCCACTGAAAAAACTAAATGTTACTGATCATCATCATCAAGGCGCGTGTCAGAAGCAGCCTAGGAGTAAAGTTATCGTATAGTTTCAAAACAATTCTTTTCAGCTAAAACATATACGTGTGGTTATTCTAGCGAGACAGTTCGGGTTATTGTGAGCACGATCACAAGGAAAATCACTAGATTGCGAAGCAAAAGGATTCTGAAATCATACTCACGTTTACTGAAAATGTACGGCAGTGCCAACCCGGACTTTCGCTTTAAAAGGCTGACGGTCGAAGGAGTAATCTTACTCTCTCTTACCCGGAAGTCTCTCCGACTATGTTAAGCGCAAGGAACGGTGGGATTATGAAAAGCGAAAGAAGCCTCGTCCCAGCCCCCTTCCCTTCCATCACGCAACACGCAGTCATCGAGTTTCCTGAGCGCACGTCAGATTGCCCAGAACCAAAAACGTTCAAAAAAATTTCTCACAAGAAACGCATCGCAATACCCATGACCAGGGGAAGAGATAAGAGACCCACTTGCCCTAAAAAGATTTGGCGCTTTCATGGTGAATAGGTGCGCGCTTCCTTGATGCGGGAGGGATTTGTGAGTTGAGACTGCACACGGTCACCTGCCTTGCTTCGCTTTATGTAGGAAAACAACAACGAACAAAGAACGACCCTCAAAACCCTATAAAATTTATGCATCAAGCCTGGGCCGCTTCTACACGAGCCAAGGATTTTTCGCCATGGGAGACTGTTAATAATTGCAATGCAGATGAAGCCTGCCATACCTCTTTGCTGAGGCTTTTAGAAGTTTCTATAAAACTTAGGTGAAAATCAAAATCTCATATAAAATGAAAGCATAATAAATAGATTAAGCCAGCCCTAAAAGTGAACCTCTCGTTAATATCTATAGTTAAAAGTTCACTGAAACAAAATATAAAATCATTTCATGATAAGCGCCGAAGGGAACGAAAACAGCCAAAACAAATCAGTTGGTCTAATTAGCCAAAAACAAGAAAACAACTTTGCACGTGTAGCACACTTTTTCACACATTTTTTTTGCCGTTGTTTTGCACGACCACAACGTTAAACTTGGCCAGAAACTTCCCGGTTACAAGTTTTATGGGGGAAATGTTGTATGTGTTCCTGTTCCCTTTTTTTCGCTGCCACTCATTTTCACCTTGGTGGCCGCTAGCATTTCTCATTTTCTCACCGTTGCTATAAAATTTTCACGTTATTCTTCAAACAAAATTGGTCTCCTTTGTTTCTTATCTCTAGCTCTAGCTCTTTCTCTGTTATCCACGTCAATGTAGACATTAAACGTAAGTCGAAAGAAAGAATCGGTTTTGTTGTTGTTACTTTTTTATCTCTTAAAGTCTGGGTTGCTATACGATTTATTGCCGAAACGCGAGGGTACTTGAAATACAAAATTTCACCCCGGCTTACATGAAGGGGTGGACGGACGTACGGACGATTTTGCGAGAACCAAAATTTCTTGGATTCATAGATAACCAAATTTTCTTACCCATGGTGCTCCCCTGTGCGCGCCTCGGAAGCGTGGGAGCTCCGCGTTTTCTTTGATTTCTTTAGGAACCGGTCATAAAGTACAGAAAGGGGGGGGGGGGGGGGGG